GGTATGATCGGTACCAAGCACAAAAAGTTATTATGCCTGATATCAAGCATACTCGTTTTTACTTAGTAGTGATGTGACATGATATGAGCGTCTGGATTGATTGAAATAGATTGAGGGGATGAGTGAGTGAACTATTTGGCCAAAAAACCCTCATCTCATTCCCTATTCTCAACCTATTCCAATCCAAAGGCTCATATCACGGCACATCATCCAAATTAACAACTGGTATGATCGGTACCAAGCACAAAAAGTTATTATGCCTGATATCAAGCATACTCGTTTTTACTTAGTAGTGATGTGACATGATATGAGCGTCTGGATTGATTGAAATAGATTGAGGGGATGAGTGAGTGAACTATTTGGCCAAAAAACCCTCATCTCATTCCCTATTCTCAACCTATTCCAATCCAAAGGCTCATATCACGGCACATCATCCAAATTAACAACTTTTTATTAATCTAATCAAAGCTCCGGCCTCCTGCTCAACTAGGAAATAAAAAGTAATGAACAGATCTAAACTTTAATTAGTCACCATTTAATTTGTTAGCAGTTATATTAAAATGCACTATTTGGCATTACCCAAATTACCTCTAACAGCCAATTAAATTGCGTCAGCTGGTAAAAGCAATTCTTCATCCAACAACCGACAGGGCAAGTTTCGCGATTCCACGATTTTTGGTAGGGCAATTTCGGAAATACATGATCTTAACAATAAATGATGTTCGATCTACGTATCTCTGTTCTATTTCATCCCTGCTATGAAAGCGAAGAACAGAGAACGAAGAGAGAGGAAATTAAAGAGAGCAACAAGAGGGAGAAAGAGGAGAGAAAGCGATTTCTTAGGGTTTTAGTGCAATCGAACGTCGACAGCTAGGGTTTCTGTTCTTCTCCTTCAATCGGCGGAGCCCTCCCTCTCTGCTTTGGTTCTCATTTTCGTTTCGCGCCTGAAGAAGCTAGAGAGAGAAAGGGAGGAGAGAGAAAGAGAGGAGAGTGAGAGACGACGTAGAAATTTGAAGGATCAGAGAGAGATCTCGTTGTCAGGGGGAAATGAGGCTGTATATTTAGGTTAAAACTTAAAACTGGAGGAATTTTGGAGGGAAATATTCTATTTGCGTTGGTGATTAGGGTTTTGGAGCATTCTAAGATAGAATCGGGCTATAAATGGTACGTGGTATTCTCATTTTCTATGTAACTATAGAAGAAATTGTAGCTTTAATCTCCTTTTTTCTTTTTTTTTGTGGTTATCAGTTTAATTAAATGAAGTACAATAATATATGAATGTTGAAGAAAATGAGTTCTTTCACTTATTTCAGTACCACCACTAGTGCAAACTTCAGCATTAGCACTTGGAAGCCTTCATTTACTATGAAAATTCAAGCTTGTAATTCCTTGCCCTCAATTAACATTGAGAAATTACGGCCGGTGGAGCAAAATTTTTGAACCAGTTACCAATGAACTAATAGACAGATTATTATTACTAAAGCATGAATATCATTTTTCAGTAAAAATATAAGTTAATCACTAGATCTTATAAAGAGTAGAAATTTAAATTATACTAATATGCACATACACAATTAAATGGATAAAAAAAAATCCTAAAATTGATATAAAGACACATAATTAGGTACTTATAATATACAAGTTTGAAGCCGGGCACTTGCTCGCCTCCACAGACCCTACCTCTGCCCAAGGAAATGATGTTCATATAGTAGAAAGTGGGGTAATGATCATGATATCTCTGATAGGTGAGGTGATGCTATTTTTACTGCCAATTTGAGTGTCCAGTTAATTCCAGCAAACAGCAAAAGTGAATACATAACTTCTGTTATCAGTGGGAAGTTATATAAGCCCAAACAAGAAACCTAGATAACGAACACCATTTCTTGACACCTTTGTTTTTTGGTGCACGTTAGCTTTAGCTGCAGTGCATGTTAAGTGTTAACATGTCAATCCTGAAGTATGTTTGTGGGATATGATACACATTTCCCGTCTATCATCAACAACGATTGTTATCTGTAGGATATAATGCAGATTTCAACATTTGAGTATTCTTCTTTATAAGGAACAAAACTTTTTAACTTTTTTTGAGAAAAAAGGACGAGGCCTCTGCCTCGAAGCCCCACCCATCTACCATTATCAAAACTTGGTTGTTTGCAGCACCAATACAATCACATCTCCAACTCCAAGGGTGCAGCTTTATGAGGAACAATTTTGATGGTCTTTCTGTTTCAACAGGAAATGCACTCTGTGCTGCTTTGTTAATAGTCCTTTTTTTTGCTTAACAAATGTTCTATTCTTATTGAATTTTCTTGATTGACAGGCATCCCAAGGTAGTGTGGCAGTAGGATCACAAGTTTGGGCTGAGGATCCTAAAGTAGCTTGGATAGATGGGGAAGTATTGGAGGTTGATGGTGACAAAATTAAGATAAGATGCAGTTCAGGAGAGAGGGTAAGTGCTCCTAATCAAGGTTCTATGCCTAAGAGACAGCAGACATTGTTTGATTACTCAGAGACTCGTCACATCTCTTTCAAGGAAGAAGATGATCTGCTATCTGCATCCGGCATTTGCTTGTTGCTTTGAGATTATTTGCTATGACTATGTCGAGTTGAGACATCAGTTTGTCAAAATTATATAATAATTAATCGTGCTATCATATTAAATCATAATTAAAATGTATTTAATGTCATATGACTTGATTCTTGCAAATGTTTGTTTTCTGAAGAAAGCTAGATATGCTTAGCTATACATAATGCACTTGAAATTTTCTCTGTGGTTGAACCATATGTTAAACAGAGTTGTCTGGGATTACATTAGTACCAACAAATATCCTTCAGGAATAAAAACTGTTGACGTACTGAGAGTTCTCCTTGTGCTGCAGGTCACAGTTAAAGTGTCTAGCATCTACCCTAAGGATCCTGATGCACCGGCGTGTGGTGTTGATGATATGACAAAGCTTGCTTATCTCCATGAACCAGGAGTTTTACAGAACTTAAGATCGAGATATGAAATTAATGAAATCTATGTGAGTATAGTCTGATGAATCAAATTTGGATGGTGGGATAGGATCCAAGTTTCCCGCATCTATTTATTTTGTTGGTGTTTATCATTCTTTCCTTAGAAATCCTTGTTCGTGTGCAGAATTGTGCTTGCGGCAGTGCTCCTCTGTTATTCTAGCTTTCATTACCTAGAGTATGCTTTTGTCGATTATGTTATTAACAGTCTGCTATTGAATTTTATTGTGACAGACTTATACTGGAAGTATATTGATTGCTGTCAACCCATTCCGAAGATTGCCTCATCTCTATGACCCTCAGATGATGCAACAATATAAAGGGGCTGTATTTGGTGAATTAAATCCACACCCTTTTGCTGTTGCAGATGCTGCATATAGGTACTAACTTTATGGGCATGAATAGAATTGTTGAGGGTACCTTTCAGCATCACTACAATGTCTTTGCTTCTTTGGTTATTGCAGGGTAATGAGAAACGAGGGCATAAGCCAATCCATTCTAGTAAGCGGAGAGAGTGGAGCAGGTAAAACAGAAAGCACCAAGATGCTTATGCGTTATCTTGCTTATATGGGAGGAACAGTTGCAGCTGAAGGGCGCACTGTGGAGCAGCAAGTCTTGGAGGTAGAATTTTTTTCATTTCTCCCAATTGTTGATCTCAAAATTGCAGTCTGGAATGTTCTTCGCTGTGATATCTGTTGTATTCTCTCTCCTCACAAGGTTTCTTTCCTTTAGAATACTAACTTTGGCCTTTTTTTCAGTCCAATCCTGTTCTTGAAGCATTTGGAAATGCAAAGACTGTCAGAAACAATAATTCAAGGTAGGAAAAAGTATTGGAAATTTTCTAATTTATATTTCAAGGTGTATCTGGCTTTTTCAAATGACATGATGTTGATTCTGAATTGCGTGCAACATTTATTAGCCGTTTTGGCAAGTTCGTAGAGATTCAATTCAACCAGAGGGGAAAGATTTCAGGTGCTGCGATCCGTACCTACTTGCTTGAGAGGTCTCGTGTCTGCCAAGTGTCTGATCCTGAGAGAAATTATCACTGCTTTTACATGCTTTGTGCTGCACCGCCTGAGGTACCAAATTTTGACCTGTCATGAAAATCTTGAAATATTTTCAGATAGCAACAATGTAAAAAAGCCTTGGATCTTTTTTGTCCTAATATATTGTGTTTTTAGCATGTCCTAACTAGTGAGTAGGACATGTCATGTTCCACGACAAATAGTACTCGCAATTAGATAATAACTAAGCTGCAGTTTTCTGGCATTGACATTGAGATGATCATTTAAAACTACAAACATATGATTTGAAAGAATTTCATAGGAAATATGAAAAGAACTATATGCCTATATGCTTTCTTATTAGTTCTCATGTGCATGTACTAGTGTTGCATATTCAAAATTAAACAAGAGAAAGAAGTAGATGCCTTTTGCCTGTCATGCTAATTTTTGAATTGACGCATTGGCGGATCTAGGATTTGTAGAAAGTGGTGTCACCATATAATTATTAGGTTGACCTGATATCCAGATCCGAAGCTTCCAAAAACACTCTGTACTATTTACAACAAACCAACTTTAAGGAACTAACAATAAGAATGTGAAATCTTCCAGTGGCGAATCCGTAAATATATGAAAGTCTGTCTAATTTTGCGTTACATTGCTTCTTATTTCTCCACCAGTCAAGCCACTGCCAACACACACGCATACTGGGACATGTCACCCTTTGGAGGAGAGTGGTGTTATATGGCACTACTCTTCTCAGGGTGGATCCGGCCATGGCTAGACGCATTTATTAAATGAACAGATTCCATATAGACCATACAATATCTTATGTTGCCAAGTCGATATGAAAAGTGGAGGATTGCTGTTAGATTGGAGCCAGAAGTTTAAAATAAAAAGAAGAAGATATTCTCATATCTAAATTGGCAAACTTTATTATGAATCATGTCGTTGATGCCATATTTACTTTTTGGGCATAGATCAACTTGAAAATTCATCTATCTTTATGATGATCCAATGACTGTAGTATCTTTGAAGACGGTTTGCTCTATACCGCATTGTCGGAGATGCATGACAAAAACACAACTAGCTATGAATATATAGATACCAAGATGTAAAGAACTTAGGATATAGAATTATGGATTTATTATGGACATAGTAATAATTTGTGTTGTATATGTGAAAATTAGCATAAATCATGATTTAACCTCAATGTTCATGACAACATATTGTTAAATTTAATATAAATGAAATATGAATTGCTTAATCCATAAAAGCTAAACACCAATCCTGCCCAAATCGAACTCTCCTAGATGGTTCAGAGCCAGACATGTTGTGCATGTCTAAAATGTACCTACCAAGTATCTTGCTTGTATTGGTCAAATATGTATTGAACATGGATATTAGAGAAATGGACCTCCTGCAAATGTTGATGGAACATGGGTCCAATGCTTTTGGTATCCATAGAACTTCTTAAATTACTCCCTCTAACATACACCAAAACTCCGAAGTTGTGGTGAGGGTCGAGGATTGTACTTTTATACTCTAATATGCCCCCGCAGGTTGAGTGGCCTTTTTATGAGCCAAAACCTAGACTCACGCAGCGGTGTCAATTTTTAGAAAATTTGCTTTAAATTCATGGTCTGTTGGATTTGAACTTTGGTTGCTTACTCTGATACCATCTTAAATTAATCCCTCTAACCGTTACACCAAAACTCTGAAGTTGTGGTGAGCATCAAGGATTATATTTTTATATTCTAATAGAACCTTCAGTCACTGTCTAATTGCTGAATACCTCTCAACTTGTTTAAAGTCTATGGCTATTGGACATGGAGATTAGAGCGCTGTGCTCCTCATGTTTTGAAGCGGAAGAAAATAAATCAACAGATCCAGTGGGAAATACTGTTGAGTAGGTGGTAATTTGAGTCACGAATCCAAGGTTCCTTGCATGCTTCACTTCTATGCATGAGTCTCAACCCTGGAAAGTCTTGTGGAGCACCAAATTACCAGCTTATTAAACATAATTCATCTTGGTATTGTCCAGGCATTTATCTGACTGTCCTGTGTCACTATGCACTAGGATGGTGTTATTGTTCTGTACTCTCATACAATGGAAGCAGATGGTTGTTATATCTAATTTCCATCTTTGACTTAATCTCAACTTGTTGGTTTGACGTAAGGATATCTTTGTTATGCCAATTTCTCAGGATATTCAGAAATACAAATTGGCAAATCCTAGAACATTTCATTATCTTAATCAATCAAACTTCTTTGAGCTTGATGGCATTGATGACGCAAAGGAATACCTGGAAACTAGAAGGGCTATGGGTGTAGTCGGAATCAGTTCTGATGAGCAGGTAAACATCTGTCGTTGATATCAATTGGTTAAAAAAAAAAACGTTCTGCCTGATCCCACAAGCCACTTCCCTCACACAATATTGCGTTTTCTACTATGCTGTTCATTCAGGATGCCATTTTCCGAGTTGTTGCTGCTATTCTTCATTTAGGAAATGTTGAATTTGCAGAGGGAAAAGAAACAGATTCGTCGGAGCCAAAAGATGAAAAATCTCGGTTTCATTTAGAAACTGCTGCTGAGCTTTTCATGTATAAGAAACTTCCTTAAGACCCCTTGCTCACATATTGAATTGGATATTAAATGATAATCAAAAATTTCCTATCGAACTCCCAGGTGTGATGTAAAAGACCTTGAAGATTCCTTGTGCAAGCGCATCATGGCGACACGTGATGAGAGCATAACAAAATGTCTTGATCCAGGATCTGCGGTTCTTAGCAGAGATGCCTTGGCTAAAACCGTATATTCTCAGTTGTTTGACTGGTAAAAGCACAGTTCTTATGTATATTAACTGCATTAATAAAAATTTTCTAGCTTTCCTTTTAAAAATTTATCTTGTTCTCTTTCACATTAATATTTGCAGGCTTGTGAACAAGATCAATAATTCAATCGGTCAAGATCCTAATTCAAAGCAATTGGTTGGAGTTCTTGATATATATGGCTTCGAAAGTTTCAAGACAAACAGGTGCTTAACTGGTACGCTTTTGTGTATCATAACAAACCGCCATGATCTTGCCATACATTTCCGTGTGAAGCTCTTTATGTTTGTGCTGTGTTCTGGAGTTAGTTGATTTACTTGATTGGTTTTTCATTGTCTGGCCTAGTGAACAACATTATTGGATTATCTAGTTTATTTAAAATATTAAGATGGGTTGCAAATCATACTAGAATTTTATATATATTTGGTTCATATTCTAATGGAGTTCGAGGGTCATATGTTTCTTGAGACTGAAACAAAAACAAAGAAGTTTTACCCTACATTAGCAGGCAAATAACAGCAAGATAGAACCTTTATTCCAAACTTTTGGAGCATGTTCCATTTGGCAATATTAACAACCATCTTTATGGTTAACTTAGCAACTATTTTATCCACTTTAAATTCCTCCATCCAGGTATATTGAGACTGATCTTTAATCTTCTTTGCTTCTTGAACTAGTATATCCTTCTACTTGACGTTTATTGCACATGTATAAGTGATCTCAGTTGTTCTCCCTTAATTTTTGCTCACTAGCAAGCTCTAATTGTGATACGTAATTTCCAAATACATTCCTCTACTATATCATTGAAATTATGAGCCACATATTTTTCAGATATAACAGATGCATGATTGATCCTAAATAGTGGAAACGGTCGCTCCAATATATTTCTTACCATCAATCTATATCGCGTGTTTATCTCTTCTCACAAGTTTGCTTAAACTACATTTTACTTTTTTCATTTTCATTCTTTTACTATTTCTTAGTCCTTTTAGATTTCAAATCTCCCGTCTTATCTTTCAATTTTGGAGATTATCCTTCCATAGTTTTATCACCAATACTATATTATTAGTAAACAACAAACATCATGGGACTTTTATCCGCAGTATGCTTATGAGTTCACCCATAACTAATTCAGAGAGATAATGACTTAAATATTTAAGCCTCTGGCAACAAGGAATGCTTAGTCATCTTCCAATTTGCCACAACTTCTCATTAGTGGTGTGAACGAGAGCATACTTCCTTTCTGCCTTTGGCATGACAAAGTTAACACATGTGGGAAGTCTTCTATCAGGAAGATGTATGATTAAGAATCATATAGTAACATGTTGGCAAAGGTCCATATGATATTAGTTGCTTGCTTGGGAGAAACAAAAACAAATGAAAGGATAGTTTTTTACGAAAGCATATTTGAGATCATCGGAGTCTCATTTCTGGAGCATGATATTTAGTCGTCGGTATCATGTAAAGTTCCTTATGAGCCCCACTTAAAACCTGAGAATCATTTCGATATTTTGTGAGATATTTTTGCTCAAACTCTATCCTGGACATACTAACAACATACTTCCATATCCATTTCTGAATTCCTAGTTATTTGCAACAATTGGAATTAAAAGATTATATTATTCTGTTACTGGTTGTTGCCCATGCTAAGTGTGAGGTACATAAACAACAACTACAACAGAGCCTTTATCCTAAATTTCTAGGGTGACCACAGGAACCCTAGAGTGAGTTGCATGTTAATAATGTTCTTATTTACCACTGTTTTGATGAGCGAAATGTCAATATCAAGTTCATACCAGATAGGGTTAACCACATAAAAGGGTGGCCCACTGCACGAGGCTCCCACCATTGTGGACTCTGGGGAGGGTCAGATATACGCAACCTTACCCCCCTGGAGAGGCTGTTTCCGAGATTTGAACCTATGTCCTCCAGGTCACAAGGCAACAACCTTACCGTTGCGCCAAGGCTCACCCTCAGGGTTAATCACATAAGATAGAAAATTATGGGGAAGGATAAGAATCAAACATGCACACCATACGTTTGCACATACAAATGTATATCCATCCATCCATATAGACACACACGGACGCGTATATGCACAAAAAACATACTTGCATTAGTATGCATGTGCATGTATATTTGTAGATGGATGGGTAAACATATGTTCTTAGATTTAACCTGCATCACTCGAAGTTCTCAATAACAAAATATGAAGTATTTGGTTTTTTAGCATCAAGTAGACAAAAAAAATAACAACCATATGTTTGATCTTCATCTGAACACCTAAAAAGCTTACTCATCAACTTTTGTCAGGTACAAACCTTCTTAGAATTTGTAGCATCGTTGCTTGGTTGCATGTTCTTAAACATTATAAGAATCAAGGAAATTTCCCCACAAATTAGGTTCTACATTAGAGGCCCTCTCTTGTCTGTAGTTTCCTTTCCCAAGATTTTATCACCAAAACAGAGAGGATTGAGTTGTCACCCAGTCGTAGAAGGCTTTTGAGCCTTTCTAATTAAAAAATCCTCCACCACTAAGGTTCTACACTAGAGGCTCTCTCGTGTCTGTAGTTTTCTTTCCTGAGATTTTAGCACGAAAACACAGAGGATTGAGTTGACGCCCAGTTGTAAAAGTTTGTTAAACCTCTTTGATTAAGTTGTTGAAAAAAAGGATAGATGATGATTATGACAGCGATGGGTATGGTAATGAGCCATCACGCTTGTTCCTGTTGTTGTACTTTCTTAACTATATTCAAAAGGAAGTCTATTACACATCTTTCAAATTTCAATTGTTGAATTTCTGTTGGTTGTATGCTCAAATCATAAGGTAACATGTTTATTAATCTCAAGGTAGTTACTTTTGCAGCTTTGAGCAATTTTGTATCAATCTGACAAATGAAAAACTGCAACAACATTTTAATCAGGTTGGATCTTTTTCTTTCTGCATCATTCTTATGGCGAGCAGTATTGTAGAAATTCCTACAGATTGATCTGTAACTAGTTTTCTTTCTGGTTGAAACAGCATGTTTTTAAAATGGAGCAAGAGGAATATACCAAAGAAGAAATCAACTGGAGTTATATTGAGTTCATTGATAACCAGGATGTTCTTGATCTCATTGAAAAGGTTCATCTTCTATTCAACCATTATTGTATGTTATATTTGGGGGAAAAAATACAAGTTTCAGTTCTTTTAGTTTAGATATGACATCATAAAATGCTAACATGATTATAAGTCAATATAAATTGACAATATTAAGGTAGCTATTAATAAAAAATTATTTTTAATAATTGTGGGTATTTTCGTCCATAGAAATTCAAAATATAAAGATAAATATGTTAATTTGACTATTTTCATGAGCATCCAGATAAGTAACCATCTTGAAAAGAAACTTAGATTGTTTAAAAGTTATGAAAATTTGTGACCATAACAAATTTATTTTTATTTATATTTCTATTTAATATTATGCATGATACGGTGGTGGAGTCAGGACTTTTTTTGGGGTAGGGGAAAAATGCAACCGTCGTACTATACATCAATCAAATAATATAATGTATGATAGGAAGAAATTTTACCATGAAATTGACAATACACTAAATTATATCACTAAATTTATTTCGAACAATAATAAGAAGAAATAGAGCAAATTCAACTATCAAATTTATAAAATGATTTGAGATGTACATGAACATAAAATCCTCATTGCACATATCCATCTACCTTTTAATGTAAAACTTCATGAAATGGGAAGAACCCCATGTCACCATTCTACCGTTTATTGGAAAACCACAAAAATTGAAACTTTGTTTCCCTATTCTACTTGAAACACAAAATAAATAAATAATGAAAACAATATGTATCTCTCTGTGTACAGGGCTTTTTTCTATATTAGTATCCCAAATCTTAAGTGATTCAAAATGAGTCCCTCTCATTAGAGGCTGAGAATTTTCTGCCATCTTTTTATTTTTTGGTGCAATAGCATATATACTCATATGCATTCAAATCAAAACCCCAAAAATGGCTTTATAGGACAAATTGGTAAATGTTATGCAATATCAGACTTAAATCCACTGATTTTGAACCTTATTTTGGTGAATTTTGATGTTGATGTAGGTCAATTTGGTAATTTGGTCATTTCCTTGTTTTTCTAATGAACAGATAGAGAAAAACTAAACAACCCTACTACTGTTTCTATCGAAGGAAAGAAAATGCTGCAAAAATATAACAAATTCCTGCAAAAATATAATTTGGTAATTGTTCTTTCACCAAATTGTGGTTAACAATTTAGATGGTAAATATAACAAATGCACTAATTTCATAACATTGTAAAAGGTTTGAGGATGAAGTTCAAATATGAAAGATTTGGAGGACTAATTTTAGATTTGGTGAACTAATTTCAAATACAAAAGATTAGGAAGATTTGGAAAAATAATTTTAAATATGAATGATTGGCGGCTAATCTGAAATATGATAAGACTTAGGGGACTGCTATAACAAGAACCTATACTGTAAAACGTGACTTTGAATTTTGACCCACCAAACACTACTGTTCCACCAACCCAAAACATTGTTCCACTAACCCTTTTGAAGGCTATAAATAGAGAAGAGTGGTGAAGGGTTAGAGCATCGAACAGAGATTCAGAACAGAGAGAAAAAGAAAGAGAAAGTTGAAGAGAAAAAGCAAAAAGAGAGTTTTCTTTGAGTGTTCTCTTCTTTGTGTGAGTTTGATGAGATATTAGAGTGATTTCCCTTTGTAATCTTCTCTTTTTGTGATTAATGAAGTTCTTTGTTGTTCTCGTCCATGGACGTAGGTCATTCTGACCAAACCACGTTAAATCCTTGTGTGTTGTTCTCTTTGTCTTCACTGTGTTTATTCAGTGTTGTTATTATCCACTTTTGTATAGACATTTTCTGTGTCTGTGAAGCCCCCCGCTGCAAATAACTTATAAGCTATACTATTACTATATATATGTTTCTATAAAGCTAGCGGGGCCATGACCACCACTTGCTCCGCTAGCTCTGCCAAATGACATGATATATGTAAGACAGTGTATGCATGATTACTCTTTCAAGATGGGTTAAGTTTGGAATTGTGTGGTTTTTCTTAAATTCATATCCTACCCATTGTAGGTTCAGGTCAATACCATTGTAGGTTCAGGTCAATATTGGGATAAAGTCAGGACTAGTTTGTTTGTGTTAAACGTGTCTTTGAAAGTTTTTTCAACACCTACCTATCAGTTGCCTAATTCCAACTACCCTTATGTAATATTTATTAATATTTTTTGGCTATATAAGGAGGGGTTGTGTAATGGTTTAAGAGCAATCAGAACACAGAAGAATAGAGAGATAAGAGAGAGAGAGAAAGAATTTGACTCTTTCTTTGTGTGAGTCTCTTGATAGAGAGCGATCTCCTCTTTTGTAATATTCTCTTTTGTGATTAGTAAAGTTCTCTGCTGTTCTCGCCCGTGGACGTAGGTCATACTGACTGAACCACATTAAATCCTTGTGTACTATTCTCTTTGTCCACTTTTGTATAGATATCTTCTATGTCTGTGAAGCCCCTCCACTATAACAAACTGGTATCAGAGCCTGCTTAGAGTACGTATATCTGCTTATCGTATGCTTTGTGGCTACCACTAAAAGTGAATCCTCCATATCAGAAAATAAGTTAGATTATCATTTACACTTTAAAGGCATTAGATACTATTCACGAGTACCGAACTATTCAAAAATACTATTACTAGTCATACATACGGTTACTATTTATACGTACGATTATTGTTCGCAAATATGGTTACTTTTCATAAATACAATTACTGTTCTAGTTGGCTTCAAGATGTTTTTTGTGAAATACAAAGTGAAGAAATTTGAAAGGAAAAACAACTTTAGTTTGTGGAGAGTAAAAATGAGGGCTCTTTTAGTACAAGGATTGTTCTAGGTCTTGTCCGGAAAGGATAAGTTGCAGGAATCTATGCCCGATGATGAAAAAGAAGAGCTGGAGATGAAGGCGTATAGTGTCATACAGCTCTGTTTGGTCGATGAGATCTTACGGGAGGTTATAAATGAAGATACCGCCGTCGGCTTGTGGCTCAAGTTAGAGAGCTGATACATGACGAAATCTCTAACGAACAAGCTATACTTGAAGCAACGCCTCTTCACCCTTCATATGAAGGAATGTATGCGAATTAAATGCCACTTAAATGAACTTAACACTATTTTTATGGATTTAAAGAATATTGATGTTAAAATCGACGAAGAAGATTAATCACTCATCTTGTTATGTTTATTACCTCCTTCCTATGAAAATTTTGTCAATAGCATGTTATAGGGAGATGCACTTTTTTTAGAGGATGTCAAATCAGCTTTACATTCAAAAAAATTAAGACAGAAAGTGTCTGTCGTAGGAGAAGAGGATCAAGCCGAAGGCTTGTTCGCTCGTGATCGTCCTGAAAAGGGTATTAGTGGTAGAGGCAAGTTTAGAAATATGTCTAGATCAAAGTCCAGACCAAGAGAAAATATTGAACGTTATTACTGTCACAAATATGTGCATATAAAACCTAATTGTCCAGCGCTCAAAGCAAATGATAATTCACAGTCGAAGTCTGGGGAGGTGAAACCTTCAGTTACCACTGTAACTGAAGAGTCTTCTAGTTCACATAAAGTTCTTTCAGTTAGTGTTAATACTCATTCACAAGATGTGTGGGTTCTTGATTCGGGTTGTTCCTATCATATATGTCCGCATAAGGATTGGTTTGTCACATATCAGTCTATCGATGGTAGGAATGTCTTGTTGGAAAATAACATGTCTTGCAAGACTGTTGGTATCGGATCAATTAAGATTAGAACCCATGATGGTATTATTAGAATATTGAGCAATGTCCGTCATATTCCAGAGTTAAAAAAGAACCTCATTTTTTTAGACATCCTTGACTCAAATGGTTTTAAGTTTTCGGCTGAAGGTGGAGTTTTGAGAGTAAGTAAATGCTCTTTTGTTGTGATGAAAGGAAAGAAGATAAATACCATCTATATCCTTGAAGGCAGTACAGTGATAGGTGCTGCAGTAGTGTCATCCTCAGAGAATTCAGATTCAGACACTACATGTTTGTGACACATGCGGTTAGGGCATATGAGTGAGAGAGGATTGGATGTATTGAGCAAATGCTTTGTGGTCAGAAAATTAGTAAACTAGATTTTTGTGAACATTGTGTTTTCGGTGAACATCATGGAGTATCCTTTAGTACCGGTGTCCACAAAACCAAGGATACTTTAGATTATATTCATTCAGATGTTTGGGGTCCTCAGGTTCCATCGAAAGGTGGAGCTCATTTTCTGCTAACATTGATTGATGATTATTGTAGAAAAGTTTGGGTGTATCCTTTGAAGCATAAGAATGATGTGTTTGCAACCTTCAAGCTATGAAATGTTATGATTAAGAAACAAACAGGAAAGAAAGTGAAGCGTCTCAAAACCGACAATAAGATAGAGTTTTGTTCTATAGAGTTCGACCAGTTCTGCAAGAATGAAGATATTGTACGCCATCATATAGTCCAACATACATCACAGTAAAATAGAGTTACAAAAAGGATAAACATAATACTTTTAGAGAGAGCTCGGTGCATGTTCTCTAATGTCGGTTTGTCAAAAGACTTTTGGACCGAGACAGTCAATACAGCTTGTTATTTGATAAACAGATCTCCTTCTACAACAATTGATTTCAAGACTCCAGAAGAGGTATGGTCTGATGCCCCTGCTAATTACTCTCATTTAAGAGTATTTGGTTGCTCTATTTATTTTCATGTTAATGATGGTAAGCTTGAACCTAGAGCAAAGAAAGCTATCTTTCTAGGATATGCTACTGGGGTGAAGGGATATAGATTGTGATGTTCTGATTCTAAATCACCTAAGTTTATTATTAGTAGGGATGTCACTTTTGATGAGAAATCCATGCTTCACCCGATAAAGGATTTTGTTATTGACACTATATGTACTAACAAGGAGTCTAGCAAGTGGGTGGAGCTAGAGAGCTCAGTTTCAAAGAGAGTGCTTGAGGGCGTTCATGTTGAACCAATTGATACTGCGAAAGGTTCAATTTTAGATGCTGATACACCACAAGAGCAACAATATAATATTGCCATCGGGAGAACAAAAAGGCAGATCCGACCTCCTCAACGCTACGCAGACATGCTTGCTTATGCTTTGAGTATAGCAGAATCGATTGAGATTCCAGAACCTTCTACCTATAAGGAGGTTATTAGTGACAATGAGGCTGCAAATTAGACTATTGTGATGACTGAAGAGATGAAATCTCTTCACAAGAATCAGACATAGGAGCTAGTGAAGCCATCAAGGGGAGAGAAGATCGTTGGCTATAAATGGGTCTTCAAGAAGAAAGAAGGAGCTCCGGATACAGATTTTGTAAGGCATAATACACGCTTGGTAGTTAAAAGCTACAGTCAGACCGAAGGTGTGGACTTCAATGAAGTATTCTCTCCAGTTGTAAAACACACCTCAATCTACGTGTTGCTTGTCATGGTTGCTCATTTTAATTTGGAGCTTGAGCAATTTGGTGTGAAGATAGCTTTTCTACATGACGAGCTTGAGGAGCAAATCTTTATGTATCAGCCAGATGAGTTCATTGTTGAAGGTAAAGAAGACCATGTGTGCAGGTAGAAGAAATCTCTTTATGGGTTGAAATAGTCTCCGAGGCAGTGGTATTTGAGATTTGATACTTTCATGTTTGATCATGGTTACTTTAGGAGTAAATATGATAGTTGTGTTTATCATAAAAAGCTCAATGATGATTTTTTTGTGTATTTATTTTTGTATGTCGATGACATGTTAATTGCAGCTAAAGATATGTCAAAAATCAAGGAGTTAAAATCTCAACTCAAACATGAGTTTGAGATGAAAGACTTGAGAGCAGGAAAGAAGATTTTAAGGATGGAGATCCACAGGAACAGGCGAGAAGGAAGTTTATTCCTATCTCAGGAGAAATACATCAAGAAGGTGTTGGAAAGATTTGACATGCTTGATGGCAAGCCTGTGAAGACTCCACTTGCTACTCATTTTTATCTTTTAGCATATTTGTCACCTCAGACTGAGGAGGAGGAGCAGTACATGTCTTGTGTTCCTTATGCGAGTGCAGTTGGAAGCATCATATATGCGATGGTCTGCACCCGTCCAGATATTTTACATGCAGTCAGTGTTGTGAGTCGGTACATGGATAAGTCCGGAAAGGTCCATTGGCAGGATGTGAAATGGATACTTAGATATTTGAGAGGATCTGCTAATATTGATTTGTATTTTGGCAGGAACACAGACTCAGATTGCAAAATACTTGGCTATTTTGATTCAGATTATGCGGGTGATTTGGATAAGAGACGATCCCTAACAGGTTATATATTCTCTTCAGATAGTGCCATAAGTTGAAAGACGATTCTACAGTTGACGGTTGCTTAATCTACCACAGAGACAGAGTATATAGCAATGACAGAAACAGTGAAAGAAGCTATTTGGTTGAGAGGTTTGGTTGAAGATCTCGGCTTACACTAAGGTGTTACTACGGTATTTTGTGACAGTCAGAGTGCTATACATTTTACGAAGCATCAGATGTATAATGAAAGAACCAAACATATAGATATCAAGTATCATTTTATCAGAGAAGTTAAAGTCATCAGGATTAAGAAAATTAGTACTGTAGATAATCCAGCAGGTATGCTGACAAAGCCCGTACCTTCGCGTAAGTTCGAGCATTGTTTAGAATTGCTTGGGGTTCGACAAAACGAAGGTTAAGCCCGTAAGAGGCTTTTGGCGAGACAGCAAGAGTAAAGAAAAGATCTTCATTTTTAAAGTCAATGTGGAGATTTGTTAAACGTGCCTTTAAAAGTTTTTTCAACACCCACCAACCAGCTGCCTAATTCTAACTACCCTTATATAATATTTTATTAATATTTTTTGGCTATATAATGAGGGGTTGTGTAATGGTTTAAGAGCAATCAGAACGTAGAAGAATAGAGAGATAAGAGAGAGAGAGAGAGAGAGAAGAGAGAAGAGAGAAAGAATTTGACTCTTTCTTTGTGTGAGTCTCTAGATAGTGATCTCCTCTTTTGTAATCTTTTCTTTTGTGATTAGTAAAGTTCTCTGCTGTTCTCGCCCGTGAACGTAGGTAATACTGACCGAGTCACGTTAAATCCTTGTGTACTGTTTTCTTTGTCCACTCTTGTATAAACATCTTCTGTGTCTGTGAAGCCCCATCCGCTGCAACAATTTGACCCATAGCCAACATCAAAATTCTACTTTGGTTAGAACTTCAATTGAAACCTTACCCATGAGTACCAAAGACCGCTTTGAAATCAGCTAAAAATCCCTGGCCTAACAAAACTAGCTTAAAACTATCAATTAATGCAAGCATATCCCTTTAAGGTATCCACTTTGATGCTAGTTTAGTTAAAACATATATAACTCTTCTTCTTAAAACTGTCATAGCTTTAATAAATTGCGATTTTATATGTAATATGTTGCCAAAGCTGAACAATTTTTTAACCCGTGAACTCACCATTGTTACAATTTTTTACATTACTAATTATTAAATAAAACAAGGACATGCTTGCTAAATAGTTCAAAAAAAGGGGGAGTTGTCAATAAAACCTGGAGAAATATGTTATTTCTCGAAAACAAATAAGCGTGCATGTATATATTTATTTATGTGTGTACCTTTGTGTGCATGTGCGCGTGTTTGTGTGCTTGCATGCTCACTGTTTAAATATCTAATGTTATAGTCAATACTCTCCAATGATGTTTCTTGTCTTAATGTTTCAACATTGACTTCCAGAAACCGGGTGGCATCATCGCGCTTTTGGATGAGACCTGGTATGTATAACTGTTGATCATCAGTTTCTTTTTATGCATATGATATGCAATGGTGGTCAAATTCCAACCATTCACTGAGGTTTTTCTTTTTTCCTTCTAGTGTATTACCAAGATCAACAAATGAAACGTTTGCTCAGAAGCTATATCAGACTTTTAAAGACAACAAACGCTTCAGCAAACCAAAACTGGCACGATCTGACTTTACCATCTGCCACTATGCTGGTGATGTACGAATTATTTCATCATGACGCCTCATGAACTTTTCCTTTGAGATAATGATGCCTCATAAACTTTGCTACTTCCATCTGAAAAGTGAAGTTGGTGCACTATTTTTGTAATTTCAGGTCACATATCAAACAGAACTGTTCTTGGACAAGAACAAAGATTATGTTGTTGCAGAGCATCAATCTGTTTTAAATGCTTCCAAGTGCTCCTTTGTATCCAATCTATTCCCGCCTCCTTCCAACGATTCATCCAAATCTTCAAAGTTTTCATCAATAGGTTCAAGATTTAAGGTATGATCTATATACTTCCATGTTAATTCATAACATGAATGCTATTCCTAAAATGATTGTGAGATATTGTTAATGCGTGTAGCAACAATTGCAATCTCTCCTTGAAACTCTAAATGCGACAGAGCCACACTACATTCGCTGTGTTAAACCAAATAATTTGCTGAAGCCATCAATTTTTGAGAATAATAATGTTCTTCAACAACTTCGATGTGGGGTGAGATTCTTTTCCCTTGTTTTATAGATTATTGCCAGTCAGCTGTATGAAACAAACTCATGTATGTCGATGTCTCCTTTGGTTTTCTGTAATTTAGGGTGTGATGGAGGCAATTAGGATAAGCTGTGCTGGGTATCCAACGAGACGGTCATATGATGAATTCATAGACCGGTTTGGCATCCTCTTACCTAATGCAGTCAAAGGAAGGTACAGTTTGGTAAAATGAGCAGCTGAATGGATTTTGTTGTGCTATGTCTTAGAACATATTAATATGCCTCTTGTGACAGTTCTTTTTTCCTTGTGTAATTTCTTCTTCTTCTTTTCTCTTTTTCTTTTTCATGTTAATCCTTGTGGCAGTTCTGATGATGTCACTGTTTCAAAGAAGCTGCTGGAAGCAGCTGAACTTGAAGGCTATCAGGTAAGTGTTATAAAAAAGACAACATTCATTGACTTATTTGTTACAATCAGGTTGCGACTAATAGTACAATAAGGTAAAAGATAGTTTCTAAATTTTTTATATTTGCTGCTTTATGTCGAGTGATGAAGAACAAATTTAATGAAGAACTGATTGGAAATTTAAAAAACAAAGTTTCTTATGTATGTATGTACGCACTATCACTCACGGGTGGTGTATTGGTCTGTAAAGTTTGTTCAAATGATTTAAAGTCTGAACCCTCTAATATAATGGTCCTATAAATATTGATGCTCACTTTTCTGCTAATCTCTCACTTGTTTGATGCTCCATTTTAACTTTGATTACTTTATTTCTTCTGCTTTCTTCAGTTGGATGCCTGACATAATTTGGTGATTAACCTATAATTTAAAAGAACCAAATGCATCTAACAAGGATGACAGAGCCTAAATTCTAAACTCTTTGTGGTTAGCTTCACAAACTATTTTCCTCCTAAAAGCTCACTTATGGAATATACTTGCATACTATCTCCTATTAAGTATTCTTGGAATGAGTAGTGTTGACATATTTTATCTGAGCATGCTACTCTTCTGACAGAACAGGAGGTAATAGTTGATGCTGACTTTAGTTTGTCTATTGCATTTAACCTGCAGAAGGTTGGAGTTTTAGTCTGTTTAAGCTTATTAGAGGAGACTTTTTCAAATGGGTCCAGGAGAAGGTTTATGAACTTCATACTAAGAGCAACTCCAATGGCGAGGCTGCAAAATGCAGCCTCCCCAAAGTATATTCTTGGGCATATGCTTTTTTAGAGGGGGGCACTCCAACCACCCCCTCTATATGAAGCTCTATTTGTATTTTCAATTGATTTCTTTTATACTACTTTAAATAGATTTGAAAATATAAAAAATATAAAATGCTAAAAAATTATATGAATTAATTTAAAATATAAAATATATTATAAATTAATACTAAAAGTATAATATATAATATACTCATTATTTAAATAAAATTAATTATCTTTAATAAATTGATAATTAGACATAGATAAGAGCCTTTAAATTTTAAAAAGCAGAAAATATAGCATAATATTTAGAACAACCTTCACAGCTACTCCGAATGATGAAATTTTATATATTACATTCAGCGACATTACATAGAAAAATAAAGTACATGAAAAAAAACTAAAAATCGGGCAGGCCATTTCCTCCATATCCACCGCTTCTGTAGTCAGGTATTCCGTATTGACTTCCTGCATAACTATATTCAGGATTAGGAATATCAGATGAAGAACCTCCGGTTGTGTTTCTATTTAAAATCTCTTGTTTTTTAATTCGAAAATACTCGCGTTCCGAAGGATCAGTAATAGTATCAAGATTAATCAACATAATCTTACTTTCCTGGTGTTCCCTTTGAATATCTAATTTTTTCTTTTCGTTTTCGGCCCTTAACAACATAATCTGGTGCATTGCTATTCTATCATTTTCTCGTTGTCCATGACTTTTTTTTAAAATATCGACAATTTCTTGATTGCTTTTATTGAGAGTTTCCAAGTCGAGGTTCTTTTCAGTTGCCTGTCGCCTCCTCATCTTCTCTTTCTTCCTTCCTGTCGGTCGACCTGTTATAATATCTTCGTCATTATGAGTATATTTCTCATTATCGTCATTTAAGTCGACGACAGGAGAACTTGAATCTGATCCCTGGGATGAGCGGGACTTTGAAGTTTTGGAAGTTGCAGGCGATCTGACACTTATATTTGTCCATTTCTCTGCATCTTTTAAAATTGACCAAACATGATCAAATAGAAACACCTTTCGCTCTTCTGGATCTTCTGCAAATATTATCCTAGCACGTTTAATCTACCACAAGAGAGGAAGAAACATTTATTAATAACATGATGGTAGATGATAATCAAGATTTATGTTATTCAAAATACTTACAATGTCAAGCTCAGAAGCACCGCTTGGATTTAAGCGCTCGACTTGTCGAATACATCATCGAAATTTAGTGATGGCCTTCATAATTAATTGCATTCGGCATGAAAGAGACTTTGGAGTCCTTTGAGTATTACAAATATTGGAAATCCTTTCATGAAATAAACAGAAATTCGTTCCCACAGCTTGTCCTTCTTTTGATTAGAACCCATGACTGGATCTTGAGAAATTTCGAGCCACGTGACGCATAAAATTTGGTCTTCTTCTTATAAAAAAGATTTTTCGTGACTAGATGCCATAATCTAAGGAGGAATGTAAAGAGTTATGAATATAGAATAAGAAGAGTTATGGTGGAAGATGCCATAATCTAAGGAGGAATGTAAAGAGTTATGAATATAGAATAAGAAGAGTTATGGTGGAGATATGAAAATTGTGCAAGTATTATATAGGTGAATATAGAATAAGAAGAGTTATGGTGGAGATATGAAAATTGTGCAAGTATTATATAGGGATCAGATGTTGGGAGTCTCCAACACCAGGAGAACCCAATGTGGGGAGTTTCCAACATAAAAGGAATCCAATGTGGAGGTGAGAAGCCAATGCTGAAAAGAATCCAATGTGGGGAGTCTCTAACACGAAAGAAATCCAATGTGGGAAGTCTCCAACACCAGGAATCTAATGTGAGGAGTCTCCAACAAGAAAGGAATCCAATGCAGGGAGTCTCCAACACTAGGAGAATCCAATGTGGGGAGTCTCCAACACAAAAGGAATTCAATGTGGGGGTGAGAAGCTAATGCTGAAAAGAATCCAATGTGGGGAGTCTCCAACACGAAAGGAGTCCAATGTGGGGGGTGAGAAGCTAATGCTGAAAAGAATCCAATGTGGGGAGTCATATTATATAATGACATTACATCCATCTCTAAATAACTCACAACTTATATGATTATTTCTATAAATAACTTCTTCATCAATGAACTATGGAGTCGGACCGTCACATCTACCTTCTTCTTCTTCTTCTTCTTCTGACGACGAAATATTTTCTCAGTACATTAAAGATTGGGAGGAAGATATGACACAATGGGAGAAGGAAGATGAACTCTTAGCTCGCGTACATGCCTCTAATAATAAAATAATGACTTATCTCTCTCAAGTGGCAGAGCGACCAAAGCGTATTGGCTCAGTTCCTGGTCATTTGGTGATCAATCGCGGGAGGGAAGAAGGTAATTCTCGACTTTACCATGACTATTTTTCTGATAACCCTACATATGGTGCAAACCTATTCCGTAGAAGGTTCCGGATGCATATGAGTTTATTCCTTCGTATAGTCGAAGCGGTACGTGAGCATGACAACTTCTTCGTACAGAAGATGGATGGTGTCGGCAAACTTGGGCTATCAACTTTACAAAAAGTTACATCGGCATTTCGCATGTTGGCGTATGGAACATCAGCAGATAGTATTGACGAATATGTTAGGATCGGTGAGTCAACTGCAATTGTATGTTTAAAGAGATTTTACAGAGCAATTGTAAAAGTATATGGAGATGAATATCTGAGGACCCCCAATGTCGACGATGTTGCAAGGTTATTGCAAAAGGGCGAAGAAAGAGGTTTTCCAGGAATGTTAGGAAGTCTAAACTGTATGCATTGGCAATGGAAAAATTATCCAACAGCATGGGTAGGACAATACTCAGGTCGTCATGGAGGTCCAACCATTATTCTTGAGGCAGTAGCATCATATGATTTATGGATATGGCATGCATACTTTGGCTTACCAGGATCCAATAACGATATTAATGTATTGCAGTCGTCTAATTTGTTCGATAATCTATCACAAGGTATTGCTCCTCCTACTCATTATACAATTCAAGAAAAAAATTATGATATCGGTTATTATTTGGCCGATTGCATATATCCGAAATGGCCAACACTTGTTCAAACCATTTCTAATTCCGATGATAAAAAGAAACAATATTTTACAATGATGCAAGAAGCATGTCGAAAAGATGTTGAGCGGGCATTCGGTGTTCTCCAATCACGATTTGCTATCATCAAGGGGCCAGCCCGTTTTTGGGATAAACGAACTCTGCATGATATCATGACTGCTTGTATTATAATGCACAATATGATTGTCGAAGATGAACGCGACGAGCAAGAAGATGTTGTCATTTCAACTCCACAATCAATTCCGAATGCTGAAAATATGGAGATAACGGAAGTTGAACGATTCCAACGGTTTCTTGCTCGACATAAGAGGTTGAAAAACAAAGAAGCTCATTTTGCACTTCGAAATGCATTGATTGAACATTTGTGGGAAAGACATGAAAATGAAGCGATGTAACTTTTTTTACTAATGAAATAATGACTTTTTCATTTTTAATTACTTGGTTCTTAAAATTTTATATTTCAATTAATATTATTCAATATTAGTCTCATTTTGAAGGTATCGACAAAACATTTCCAACTGTAAAACTTTTATTTAAAAATAATTAGTAGAAATAAACTTATGTTGATTTTAAGTTGAATATCTAAAAATAATTAGTTAGTTAGAAGGGTAATATTGTTATTTTTTAGGGGGAATAGTGAAATGGAGGGGGCTACATATTTGGAGCAAAAACTCCAAATATGCAGCCGGGTGGGATTTTTTTGCAGCCGAGCTCCAAAATTTGGAGCTCGGTTGGATGCCAACCGGGCTGCATTTTGGAGAAATGCAGCCCGGTTGGAGCTGCTCTAATATGACATTCAATTGTCACTGTAGTGAATAAATATAAGTGCTGTCTTAATTTGGTGAATGGTGTGGGGGAATTATAGTCACTGTAGCAACACTCATCATTGAAGTATAGTGTTGGTGTGGACTATTTTTTAATGGTTTACATGCTTCATATGTTGCACCATATAGTTGATTGATGACATGGTTTTTATTTTTGTTTTTCTAGCTAGGGAAAACAAAGGTTTTTCTTCGGGCTGGTCAGATGGCTGAACTGGATGCTCTTAGGAATGCTGTGTTGGGAAGATCGGCTAGCATCATTCAAAGAAAATTCTGCTCCTATTATGCTCGAAAACGTTTCATTTTAATGCAAAAATCAGCTATACAGCTTCAAGCTGTATGCAGAGGTAATTTGTTCTAGCAACGATCATGCTGGCTGTCATTGCTGTCATTAATATTCCACTGCCATTGTCTAGCTAATAGTAACTATATCTGAAATAATTTTTCTTTTGAAGGACAACTTGCACGGGATCTTTATGAAAATATGTGCAGACAAGCTGCATCTTTGAGGATCCAAACATATTTCCGTATGCATTTTTCAAGGAAAACTTACAAAGATCTGTATTTTTCATCCATTGTTATTCAAACTGGATTTCGTGGGATGGCTGCTCGTAAAGAACTTTACTTGAGGCGTCAAAGAATAGCTGCAATTACCATTCAGGTATATAAATTCGTCTTTTGTGGACACTTGTACAAATTATCGATTGCACATTAACAAGAAGCTAGCAGAAGTAGTGAATACTATTAGGAAACTATGACCATAACTTTTGTTGCTGCCTATTCTTGAAATACAAAATTATGAACAGTTAGAAGAAAAGCAGATGGTTTATCTATGTCCCCCCGCCCTGCCACCCACCCACCCACCAAAAAAAGAAAAAACTACTTTTGGTGATCCTCTCAAGTTCGAGATGCTTGATCAGTACGTACATTTTCTATGTTGCACATGCCTCTTACTTATTCATGGCATGCTTTTCCAGAGTTGTTGCCGTCGGTACCTGGCACAATTACATTATTCTAAGATAAGAAAATCAGCAATCACTACACAATGTGCTTGGAGAGGAAGGATTGCTAGAAAAGAGTTACGAAAGCTTAAAATGGTAAGCTTTGTTTTGATAATTTCTTTTTTTTTCAATTAACAGTCTCTTTTTGGTGTCTTTTAAGAGTTTCAGATCTTTATCTAAAAGTGCAAAGGAAATTGTCAAGGCACTCTAGGTCTGATTAAAATGTCCGCCGTGGCCCCATTTTATGTATATCTATGTGTGACCTTCACTTTGGGATAAAGGCTTTGTTGTTGTTGTTGTATGCGTGACCTTCACTTTTTGTTTCTATTTTTGGCAGTCATGCTTTGCCCTTTAAGTGGTATTTCGGTGATGAGATACTCATTCATAGAAATGAACTCTCAGTTAATTATCTAGCCTGTTCATTTTCTTTGCTCTTATCTTCAGGCGGCAAAAGAAACCGGTGCTCTCCAAGCTGCCAAAACTATGTTGGAGAAACAAGTGGAGGAACTTACATGGCGGCTACAGCTGGAGAAGCGCATCAGGGTATATACACCTCTTGTTATTCTTGTCTATAGTCATCCCTTCATTTCTTAGCTTGTATTCTACCGTTAAGTGGAAGAAGTTGTAATTGATATTGATAGTAACTAGTATGAGTCATGAGTGTGATTTGAAAGTGTAGATGGGTGAGGACTTCCTCTTTTCTCTAGCTGCAATCTCATTAAAACTCACTTACACAGGAAACAGACACTAAGCAGAGCTAGGCAGTCTATCGATTTGGCTATCAATCATCTACCAGCCTTTCACCTGTACTAGGAGAGAAGTGAATGTAGAAATGAACAGTTCTACTTAACACCTTCTTAACATACAATACAAAGTTCCCTTAGCCATGCCGTGACCATTACTATGTCAATGGAGTCAAGAAAGCACTCATACATAGCAAGTCCAAGAGTAGGATTATTACGCCCCCCTTACCTTTTTCGTACATATGGATTTCACCACTTAAAAAGTTCAGTCCCTCCATTCAATTAGCGTTTAAAGTTAGTTGACGCCTTTCACAGACTGTCTACGGATCCATCCCCAGATTTGGGTTAATCTGAGCTCCCTGGCGGCTCAGTCACAAGCACCTTTCTATCTTTTTTAAAATATTACTTATAGCAGAAGTCGGGAGTCAATTCTAGTTGTCACGAGCAAGAACTTTGTTGCTCACTGGTTACCATGAATTTAGGGTCGCACTATGAAGTTTGCCTTATACCTTGATAAAGCAAAGTTGCTCAAAGGTTTCAGAGCAAGGAGCATATGTTGCTCACGATGGGAGAACATCAAAGCGAATGTAATTTATTTATTTTTCTGAATTTATTACTTGTGCCCTTTCAATTTTATACTGACTAGTTTCAACACATCACATCCCTCCCTCCCTCTCCCATCTTTTCCTGCCCCCTACGATATTTGCTTTATTCATGAAAAGAGGCTAAGAAAAATACTAACAATTTATAATTATTTTCCATATATTTATTCCAAGCCTTGTGGTCTAATGTGTATATCATTTACGAGATTTACTGATGACTCATAGAACAAGAGTTGCTTGCAGCATATGTTGATTCTTAGATCAGGTTCTCGAAACTAGATGTCTTCAATTTTTAGGTTTGTTCAACTATTACAAGTTGATGACAATCTCCCATATAGTTCAAGAACCCGTCAGGTGGGTTGAGGATTACCTTATGTGCTTTGTTTATCATCTTCTTAAGGCAATTTCTCTATTTATTATTTATTAGGCTGACATGGAGGAAGCTAAAACACAAGAAAATGCAAAGTTGCAGTCTTCGCTGCAGGAGACGCTACTGCAGTTTAAAGAAACTAAAGACCTGCTGGTAAAGGAGCGAGAGGCTGCTAAAAAGGCTGCTGAAGAAGCTGTTCCCATCATAAAAGAGCTCCCTGTTGTTGATACAGCTTTGATTGATCAAATCACTGCTGAAAATGAAAAGCTTAAGGTGAGCCTGATATAATGTTTTTTTCTCTGTCATCATCATGAGGACAAGAGTAAGCATCTGAGCTGTGACTGCTGCTATCATCTAGAGGAACATGGGTTTGGAGGGTCATTATTTATGCATGTGAAAATTGTCTAAGCCGGTGAGTTAGATAATGCACCAATTCAGCTAATCTTATATAACTTCATCCTCCATGACAATGTTGCAGGATTTGGTGAGTTCTCTTGAAAAGAAGATTGATGAAACTGAGAAAAAGTATGAAGAGACATCCAAAGTTAGTGAAGAAAGGCTTAAGCAGGCTTTGGAGGCTGAATCAAAGATACGCGACCTGAGCAGTGCGATGCAAAGGTTATTTTATTCTCTTGCCCAAACTTAAACTTTTATGATCAATTATCATTGCCATATTACAGTCACTGTTAGTTTCTACATATTCTAAATATGAATACTGAATATATAATCATTTACATATTCTTTTTCTTGAACAATTGAATCTTTACTTATCGCAGGCTTCAAGAAAAATTATCTAATTTGGAAACTGAAGATAGAATTCTTCGGCAACGCATGTCTGCACATTTATCACATGCACCTTCTGGAAAAAATGTGATTCTTATTATTATTTGTTAACCTTTTTACTCTTCTTCTCTGTGTGCCTTTCATGCCTATTGACTTTTGACTTCTGCAGAATTTGGAGAATGGTCATCATCTTGCTGATGAACATAAGGTTTGAAACTTGCATCCAATATTGTATTCTGACTTTTGATTTAACACACACATATAACAATTATGTGGATCCTATTCTGCATCATGTTAATTCTATTTTTTGCAGGATCCTCATAGTGCACCTCCTGCTACTAAGAGTTATGGAAAATCTGATTCTAGGTTGAGGAGATCCCATGTTGATTCACAACCTGTATGTTTTAGACAGTATCTGTGCAAAGTCATTTCAGTGGTGTATAATGCTTTTGGATTATAAATGTTTTGTTTTTCTGTTAGGTGTTTTCTACACCGGAGAATGTTGATGCCCTTCTCAATTGTGTTGTTCAAAATATTGGGTTTAGTGAAGGAAAACCAGTGGCTGCAATTACCATATACAAATGTCTGCTTCATTGGAGGTCCTTTGAAGCTGAAAGAACTAGTGTATTTGATCGACTTATTCAGATGATTGGTTCTGAGATTGAGGTATTATGCCATTCCCTCCTCCTGGCTAATATAAGCTTATCCTAGTTTAAGCTTCCTTATCAAAGGGAAGTGACCTATCACTGGTCATTTTCGCTTCATTGTGTTTCTTAAACTTGTAATTGTGATTGGGTAAACATGATTTATCATTTTACACACACGTTTACATACCCCTTGTCAGTATACTTTTAATTGACATTGTTTACCTACTAGTCTCTCACAAAATGTGTCAGGAGAATGTCCTTTCATTTCGTTTTTGGGTTTCCTCCAAAAAGAAGTGTAACATGGTTATAAGCAAAAGGATTTGAATAACTTGACTTTCATTCATAGTATGTATACAATTGCAATAATACTGTGATCTGCCATGGTGAATTATGGGTTGAAAATTCTTTGTTTTTCCCTCTTGTGATCAGCAGGAGGAAATGAACGACCATCTTTCTTATTGGCTGTCAAATGCATCTACTTTACTGTTCATACTGCAGAAAAGTGTTAAAGCTGCAGGTATTGGGAGACCTCCCCAACCGACATCACTGTTTGGGAGAATGACTCAAGTATGTGATAACCTTGTAACAACAGAATTCTTTTCCTCTCGAAAGCATTCATGTGTACTTCATTCTCTACAACTGAATATGCACCATGTTATGAAATTTTCTTATAGAGCTTCCGAATGTCTTCATCTTCAAACCTTCCTTTTGATGCTCTGAGCGTTGTACGCCATGTTGAAGCCAAGTACCCTGCTTTGCTTTTCAAAGAACAGCTCACAGCTTATGTGGAGAAGATATTCGGAATGATCCGTGATAATACAAAAAAGGAGATTGCTCCCTTAATTTCTCTCTGTATTCAGGTATGAATGGCATCATGGTCTAGTACAACTTTCCTGGAGAATTAAGTTCACGCTGCATCAAAATTAAAAAAATATTAATCTAAGGTGGTTGGAGAAAGTGATCCTACCTTGCAAGATGAGTTGGAGCTGAATGCTACTTGCATTTTTTGTTTGTCTGTGTGTGCTTTGTTCATGATTTTGATTACTTTATTCTTTGGTATTTAGATTGTGCATCTGAAAATTGATATACTTTTTTTTGGGGCACTTGATAAAGTTTCTTACCCATGATTATTGCAAAATGTTCTGTATATGGTGCTAGTTGCTTTAAATTTGCATATGCATGTTCCACTAAAATGCACTGTCAAGCTCCCTTCAACATGTTTTGAATTGTACCTGTGACAATTTACGATTAAGCATGTTGCTCTAACCTTTCAATTACATTGTTTTATGGTAAACTGGCATGATTGAAGCTTACGCTTCTGGATAAAGATCTCCCTCGCTCCTTCCTTGTAGTTCTATTGACATTTTTATTTTCATTAATACATATTCTAGCATTGTTAATTTTTTTAACTTTCCTCTTTTGTATTTCTCCAATCACCAGAAGCACATAATGACGTGGTCCCATCAGTAGAATTTTTTACATACCTTATTTGAAACGAGAATTCTTGAAGTATATGCTTTTTTTTTCTCCTTTTAGCGAGCCCTTTGCTTTGCTTTAAGTATTGAGAGTCTTGCTTTATGCTTCCGTGATTTCAAATATTTTGCTTGTTGTTTGACTCTGTGAAGGCGCCAAGAACCACAAAAGCGAACACGTTGAGAGGATCTGGGAAATCGTTTGGCAATCAAGGTCAAAGTCCCTGGCGGACCATTACAGAGAGCTTGAATAAACTTTTACATACCTTACAAGAAAACTTTGTAAGATTTATGGTGGAACTTGAGTTAAGAATGAATTTGGTTCCTCAAATAGGTAGAGGATTTATTATTAGGCTGGTTGCTTTTCAGGTGACTGCAGCTCTTATTCAAAAAATATTTCCTCAGCTTTTCTCCTTCATCAACGTACAACTCTTTAACAGGTCTGTGATATTTCTTCTCTATCTGTCTTCGTTTTTCATAAATGAGGTGGAGGGAATTTAATATTTTTCAATGCTTCTTTAGTCTTCTTCTACGTCGTGAGTGTTGCTCCTTCAGCCATGGAGAATACATAAAGTCAGGTTTAGCAGACTTGGAGCTATGGTGTGGACAAGCAACAGCAGAGGTATTGTTATTAAAAGTTTGCTATTGTCTATTATGGCCGCTACCAGAAAATTTTAAAGTTAGCTAATGATAGCTCACCTTACAGTATGCTGGTTCGTCCTGGGATGAACTTAAACACACGAGGCAAGCTGTGGGCTTCTTGGTATGTTAAATCTTATCCCCGCCCACTATTTTTAATTTCATACTGATCCTTGTTGGACATATGGGTTTCTCGAGCATTTTATTTTGTGTCTCGTTTTTACTTCTTTTTTTTTAGTTTTTTATTTGGATTAAATTAAAAAAAAATATTACACATGTGATGATGACAAGCGGGCAACAAGCTGCGCCGCTAATCCTTTCTGAATTGCAAAACCTAACCTACGAAACACGTACTCAGCGGACCCTGCTGTCGCCACATTCTTATTCATGAATTTCTGTACCCTCCTGAAGAACTCCACCGCATCAGCTGCAAGGAAACCAAACGTATCGAAAGCGAACATTACACATGTGATGATGACAAGCGGGCAACAAGCTGCGCCGCTAATCCTTTCTGAATTGCAAAACCTAACCTACGAAACACGTACTCAGCGGACCCTGCTGTCGCCACATTCTTATTCATGAATTTCTGTACCCTCCTGAAGAACTCCACCGCATCAGCTGCAAGGAAACCAAACGTATCGAAAGCGAACAGGATGAAGCTGTGATGGTTGTCCTTGCAAGCTTGATCATGTTTGCACACCTTTGCCTCTGCTGCTCTATCCGCTGCATGCCCAACCTTGAACTCTCCATTACCAAATCCCACCAACGGAGATACCCCTGTGAGATCAACACAAGCGTGCTTCCCCCCGCTCCAACTGTAGACAAGAACATCTGCAGGCCTTAGAGTAGATCTAGCCTCTCCAGGAGGAGTGAGGAAGTTGACCGGCGCTTCCTTCTTTGATGGGAACCCTGCTCTTTGGAGGATATCATACAGGACATCTCTGATTAAGTCGTGCCTGTACTTGAACCCTGGCTGCTTCTAACAATGGATGACATGCTCTCCAAAAGCATCCATCTGCGTCCTACGACAAACTGGGCAAACTGTCTCCTCCACGAACAAAGGAACCAACAATATGTACCTGAGAATGGCCTGGTACTCCCTCGGAGTCATACGCTGCCCCAATCCCTCAATAGGTATGACCAATAAGAAATCCTGGGTGTGCTTTGCCCGCAGGCACTCAACAATAGCAACCTGCCTCTCTGAAAGGTCAAACTCCGTCGATAGATCTCTACAAACGCCATCATAAAAGATGTCTGCCAAGTAATGCATTGGTTTTGGGGGGACAGACCCTTTAGTGGTGATTTGAAGAAGGTCAACCTCAGGTAGCTTGGCTTGAAGAAAGGCCCGGGCGGAAGTAAAATGCCCACCTATAGAAACCTCACCACAACCTCTCAAAATGTGGTCTTGGAGCTCGATGGAGTGAATCCGAGAGGCCACAAAGGAAAACTGTATGGCATCTGCCGCTGCATAGACCCCTAACCCGCCCGTCTTGATAGGTAAAAATGCCAACCTCCATTGGAGATCCCCGAAGCCTGGGCCTTCGGATGTGACAATGCTCTCGACTGACCTCCCAAGCGCAATATCAAACTGAGTCGCCGCTTGAGCAAAGAGCTGTGGTGGGCAAGTCCTCAAGGAGAAATACAACTTGGACAAACCCGCACAAGCCCTCAAAAGGACGAGCTCGCACTGTGGATCCCTAAGTTGGTTCAACGCTTTCATTAACTGAGTCGCCTTTGCCACCCTCTTCGCTGCTAACCCACCAACAAACCCCTCGTCCATGCTAACTGCTCCACCTAAAAGCCTTACTCCATCACGAGGCCGACTGATATCCACGGGAAAAAGCCCCTCCAGCAAACTCCTAGGATCCGGTGAGGGCCAGAATAATTCAGTTTTGGTGACATTGAGGTCCAACCCGAGCCTTGGGCCTTCAGTCTCGATCATCTTATATGCCTTAGCAATCTCCAAAGTATCCCCGACCAAGGACCCATCGTCCAAGTACCAAGCATGAAGAGCCAACTTGCACTCTTTCTGTACTCGAAGAATCAACGGGTGAAGCGTGAGCGCGAACAACAGAGGCCCTAATGGATCCCCCTGCTGGATCCCCCGAGCAGACCAAATAAAATTCTCCCCCAAATACAGTCTAGCGGGCTGCATATATAGAAATTCCACTCAATAAGAGATCGCCGAACACTTAAGGCGCACTTCCCGCAACATACTACTCTTGTCGACCAAGTTAAATGCATTCTGAAAGTCGATCAAAAGCATGGAGAGAGAGTCCTCCGCATGGTGGACATCAACGAACCTATTAACTGCATGCAAAATTGCTTCTGCCCCTCCTGAGACTCTCACCCCAAACTGAAAATCTCCTAAATAACTCGCCATGTCCTTCCCTACCTTCTTCATGGCCACTTTAGAGACGAGACGTCTCTGTTGGGAGATTACCCAGATTTCTCTAGTGCCAGATTTAAGAGAGCGAAAATAAAATGCGCAAATTGGGGGACACGCAAGATTTACGTGGTTCGGCATAAAATTGCCTACGTCCATGGGCTGCTGCAGATCTTTTACTAATGGAAGAAATATTACAAGCACTCTGAAAATTGCTCTTAATTTTCTCTCGAATTTTCCACTCACAGAGTTCTCTCACCTTCTTAGCCTCTCTATATTTTCTCACTGCCTTGGATTTTCTTTGCAGTTGAAGGATGATTTGTATCTGAGCATTGGGGTGCTTTATATAGAGAACATCACCTCTGTCTTTGATTGGCTTTGTAAGCTTTTTCAACAAAAGAAGCACTGCCACCATTTTTTTCTTCCTGCCATTTGACTATGGCATACTCCTTTCTCTTTCAAAAAAAACGTGGCTACTGAAAGTCCTCCCTTTTTAATCATCAAAAGTCCTCCTTCCCTTTTTGACTAACAATCTCCCACTTGAAGACTGATTTCAATCTGTCTTCACATCTCGATCTGTACAGCAGCTCTTCCCCAATCTTGTTATTGTTGCAGGCCAACTGAAGCTGAACACAGCTTCAGTTTGTCAATAGTCACCGTCTTTGTCAGCATGTCTGCCGGATTTTGAGCTCCACTGATCTTTTCAAGCTTCAAAATTCCATCTTCCAGAAGTGACCGGATAAAATGATATCGCATCTGTATGTGCTTCGTTCTGGAATGAAAAGACGGATTCTTCGCTAGATGAATAGCACTTTGACTGTCGCAGTATAAGACATTGTCTTCTTGTTTCTTGCCTAATTCATCCAAGAAATTTTGAAGCCACACCATTTCCTTGTTGGCTTCTGTAACGACATATTCTGCTTCATGCTTCCCAGTGTACCTTGCCTGGATCATTCATATACCTGCTAACAGCTCCCACTGCTTGAGCAATATCTGGTCTTGTACAGACCATGGCATACATTAGACTTCCAATTGCTGAGGCGTACGGGACATTCGCCATGTGTGCACGCTCTTCATCTGTCTTCGATGACTGTTCTTTAGAAAGTCTGAAATGAACACCTAAAGGTGTACCCACTGGTTTTGCATCTTGCATGTTGAACCTGGAGAGTACTTTGTTGATGTACTCAGCCTGTGATAACATCAAGATTCTAGACTTCGTGTCTCTCTTGATCCTCATTCCAAGAATCTGCTTTGCAGCACCAAGATCTTTCATCGCGAACTGCTTTGACAATTTCTGCTTCAAATTTATAATCTCTTGCAGATCTGATCCTGCAACGAGCATGTCATCAACGTATAACAATAAAATAATGAAGCTATTGTCAAACCTCTTGATATAGCAACAATGATCTGCTTGGCATCTAGTAAAATCGTTGCTGCCCATAAAGCTGTCAAACTTCTTGTACCACTGCCTGAGAGCTTGTTTTAATCCATACAAGCTCTTCTTCAAACGGCATACTAGATTTTCCTTGCCTGCCTTCATGAAGCCTTCTGGTTGCTTCATATAAATCTCCTCCTCCAAATCACCATGAAGGAAAGCTGTTTTTACATCTAATTGCTCAAGATATAAATTCTCAGTAGCTACAATTTTCAACACTAATCTGATTGTAGTCAGTTTTACAACCGGAGAAAAAATTTCATTGTAGTCGATACCTTCCTTTTGCTGAAAGCCTTTGACAACCAATCTTGCCTTGTAGCGCTTGTTCCCATCATGCTCTTCTTTGATCCTGTAGATCCATTTGTTATGCAGAGCTTTCTTACCTGGTGATAATTCAGCTAAGTCCCACGTCTGATTTGACATGAGTGAGTCCATCTCATCTTGCATAGCAGACTCCCACTTGACTGAATCTTCCACCTGCATTGCTTCGTCATAACACTCCGGTTCACCACTGTCAGTCAGCAACAGATAGTGCAAAGAAGGCGAATAACGCTGGGTTGGCTTAGGAATTCTGGAGGAGCGTCTCACTTCTGGCGTGCTTGGCTCTTCTTGAACTGCTTCAGGGCTAGTCTGAACATCATTTTCAGAAATCTCCTCAAATTCAGCAAATTCTTTTGTTTCAGCTGTTGTACTGGAGCTACTTGATTCTGCAGTTGATTTGTCTTTGTACATCACATTCTCATTGAATATGACATCTCTGCTTCTGATGATCTTCCGATTTTCATAATCCCAAAATCGGTAACCAAACTCATCACCACCATAACCAACAAAAACACATTTGTTAGATTTGGCATCAAGTTTACTTCTTTCAGCAGAATCTATGTGTACATAAGAGATACAACCAAAAATTCTTAAATGTGAAAGGTTTACCTCTTTTTTGCTCCAAGCTTCTTCCGGTATTCCACCATCCAAGGGAACTGAGGGTCCACGGTTTATTAGGTAGGCTGCGGTATTGATAGCTTCAGCCTATAGGAATTTAGGCAAGCCGGCATGTATCCTCATGCTTCTGGCACGTTCATTCAAAGTTCTGTTCATGCGCTTTGCTACGTCATTCTGCTGCGGTGTCAGAGGAACTGTTTTCTCCATCTTGATCCCGCTGTTTGCGCAAAACTCTTTGAATCTACTGTCTTTGTACTCTCCTCCATTGTCTGACCTCAACCTCTTTATCTTCAAACCAGTTTCATTTTCCACCATGGCCTTCCATTTTCTGAAGATATCAAAGACTTCTGATTTCTTCTTCAGAAAATAAACCCACACCTTCCTTGTAGAATCATCAATGAAGGTGACATAGTACAGTGAGCCTACAAGAGATGAAACTGGAGATGGTCCCCATACGTCGGTATGAATTAATTCTAACCTTTCTGTCTTGGGTGTCTTGCCAATCTTTGCAAAACTGACTTTCTTCTGTTTGTCAAAGATGCAATCCTCGCATAGGCCGACATCTACATTTTTCAGATCCGGCAGCTTTCCTTTTGACAGAAGTGTCTTCATCCCTTTCTCGCTCATATGGCCAAGCCTTTGGTGTCATAGGTTTGATTTTTCATCTGCATCTGTTACTGCAATGATATTCTCTAAGTTAGAGGTTATATAGAGAGTACCATTTTTCTTACCTCGAGCAATGACGAGTGCTCCTTTGGTAATCTTCCATTCATGACCCGAGAAGGTTGTACAATAACCCTCTCCATCAAGCTGTCCCACAGAGATCAAATTTCTTCTAAGACCAGGAATATGTCTCACTCCTTGCAGCTTCCATGTGGTCTGATTTGGCAATTTTAATCGAATGTCTCCCTTGCCAACAATCTTCAAGGTTTCATCATCTGCTAGATGTACCTTTCCGAAATCACCGCTGACGTAGTTCTCCATGATTTCTCGGCATGGGGTGGAGTGGAAAGATGCCCCTGAATCAAGAATCCATGATTCAATCGGACTGTTGACGCTTAGAATCATAGCATCACCTCCTTCCTCAGTCACGTTGGCAGACTCCTGTGCGCCGGTGTTTTTCTTCGGTGCCCGACACTCCCTCTTGAAATGACCATTCTTGCCACAGTTGTAGCACTTAAAGTCTTTCTTTCCTGATCTAGATTTGCTCCTTCTAGATTTTGATCTGCCGTGATTTGAATTTTTTTCTGAAGTTCTTCCCCTAGACTCCGTGTGTAAAGCTGAGGAGGTTGAAGCTTCACCCGATTCTCTCCGTCGGATCTCTTCACTAAGAACCAGATCACGAACATCATCGAACTTCAACTTGTTGCTTCCCGATGAGCTACTCACAGCCGTGACTGTAGCGTTCCAGCTTTCTGGTAGAGAAGAAAGAAGTATCAATGCTCGTACTTCTTCATCAAATTCAATCCCAACTGAACTCAACTGGGTTGTGACTATGTTGAGTTCATTGAGATGTTGAGCTGTCGATGCGCATTCCGTCATTCGCAAATTGAACAGCCGCCTCATCAAGTGGACTTTGTTTGAGGCAGAGGGCTTCTCGTACATACTGCAGAGAGCCGCCATAAGACCCGCCGTGGTCTTTTCCTTTGCTATGTTGAAGGCAACGTTGCGGGATAGCGTCAATCGGATAACTCCAAGGGCTTGTCTGTCGAGGAGAGCCCACTCTTCATCCTTCATATCATCTGGCTTCTTTCCCGAGAGAGGTTGATACAGCTTCTTGTGGTACAGATAGTCTTCGATCTGCATCTTCCAAAAGCCGAAGTCCGCACCATCGAATTTCTCAAATTTCACCTTCCCTTCATCTGCAGCCATCGCTCCCACTCGAATCTGACTTCCTCTGGATCGTTTCTGATAATTTCTGTGAACCACCGTGTATTAAGACACCTCTGCCGACAAGTCAGTACCGCCGACAAAATTCCACTATTCACGAAATTTACTATTCACGTGAATAGTAACCTTGCAGAAATTTGACAGACGTCACAAAATTCCACTATTCACGAAATTTACTATTCACGTGAATAGTAACCTTGCAGAAATTTGACAGACGTCACAACCAGAGCTCTGATATCACGTGAATAGTAACCTTGCAGAAATTTGACAGACGTCACAACCAGAGCTCTGATACCAGTTGTTGGGAGATTACCCAGATTTCCCTAGTGCCAGATTTAAGAGAGCGAAAATAAAATGCGTAAATTGGGGGACACGCAAGATTTACGTGGTTCGGCACAAAATTGCCTACGTCCACGGGCTGCTGCTGATCTTTTACTAATGGAAGAAATATTGCAAGCACTCTGAAAATTGCTCTCAATTTTCTCTCTTGAATTTTTCACTCACAGAGTTCTCTCACCTTCTTAGCCTCTCTATATTTTCTCACTGCCTTGGATTTTCTTTGCAGTTGAAGGATGATTTGTATCTGAGCATTGGGGTGCTTTATATAGAGAACATCACCTCTGTCTTTGATTGGCTTGGTAAGCTTTTTCAACAAAAGCTTTCTTCTTTTTCAACAAAAGAAGCACCGCCACCATTTTTTTCTTCCTGCCATTTGACTATGGAATACTCCTTTCTCTTTCAAAAAAAACGTGGCTACTGAAAGTCCTCCCTTTTTAATCATCAAAAGTCCTCCTTCCCTTTTTGACTAACAGTCTCCAAATGGTACCTACCGCAATCGGCCTTATGCCCCCATCACTCTTCAACAACGGAGTGAGGGGGGCACTAGCAATAAACTTCGTCAAGGAGGTCGGACAACGTCCTTGCAACCACAAATTAACTACTGGAGTGAGAGCCGCGAGAAGGTCATTAGCAATAGTGGACTCCAGACCACAAAGCGCATCTAACAAGTGCTGGGCTCGAAGGCCATCACGGCCACAAGAGGTCCCCTTAGGGAAGGACCGTATACAATGGAGAACCTCCTCACAGTCCACTAAGAGCGGCTCTTGATCATACCCAAAAGCTGGCAACACCGGAGGAGGCGCCGAAGGGTGCTTGTCTTCAAGGGACTGACGAGTCTATGGAGTGTCCGGCGCAACTCCCGAGGACGTGAGTACCTTCACGGCCGCTGAATAGTGCCCATTCGATATCTTCCTCAAGCACTGTTTAACATTGTTAGCAGTTGGGCGAGCACCGGGGTCGTCAAGTCGGACAGAGGGGGGAGAAGGGAGCTCTCTGAACATGGCGTCAAGGAGTTTTGGGGGGCCTCCAACCTCACCCCAGGTGGATAATGCCTCCAAGATATGTCGTTGTTGAAGAGCCTTTCTGTTGCCTGACCTCGAACTCTTGCGATCATGGGTTTTAATAACCCTTAAAGTGCAACACGACAAGATCAAAAGTCGAACCCAAGCGTCACAAGAACGCGGGTTGGAGGACACCCCAAAGAGCGAGGCTTTGAGGGCAGCCGAGAACGCCAACCTACAAGATGGGGGAACACTTTTAACCGTTCGAAAACCTCAATGAAACACCCTTTCAACTGTACTACTGTCGAGCTTACAATGCTGTGAACCCAAGGAGGGGATAGGTGACACAGACTCGAGGATAGGAGGGGCGCAAGGCCGAATGATACCCACAATGGCACACCCCGCATTGCCCTCGTCGTCCTCTGAAGGTGGTGGAATAGACGGTCCCCTGTCATGCTTACAATGTTTACTTAGAGCACGGATCCTCAAGCACGTACCACACATCCAATGCCCCATAGCACGTAGGGTGGCCTCAAATGTGTTGAAAATAGAGATGTCACGGCCTAAAAGCCCCTTGCATTCCTCGACCTTAGACTCCGAATTGAGATGATGTTTACGTAAGTGGACAACCAAATACCCAGGGGTGAGCCCCCTACCCTCAGAGCCCCCTGCTGAGCATCCATTAAGTCCCTTGAGAGGGCAGCGAACAAACAACTTCTGTGTCGCCTGAGGAAAAGACATGATCAACCAAGTGTCTATTTTTTTTAATGCGTCATAATAGAATTGATCTGTTAATTTGGGTTATCTTGTCTATTTTGGTGCAGTATGCAAATTTGATTTGATAACATTCACTGGCTAACGAGGGCACATAATCTTCACTTTTCATTGTGAATTAGTATTGCTACATAAATTATGTTTCTGATTCATGACCCAAACTTTGATTAATAAATGATAAATCTATAATCATAAGAGGATACTTTTTCAGTGATTTCAGAATGTATCTCTGCTACTATAACTATAAAGAATCGATTTGTTTGTGTGGCATGTGTCATCATATGAGCAAGAAACATTTTATATGTACTTTGCAATGCACGTGCTCTGTATGTAGAGCTGCTAGTTTAACCACCTTATATGTATCACTTTTGACTAGTTCGAAGTCACCCCAGGGGTTGCAGCAACACATCAACCACCAGTCGAAGTCACCCCAGGGGTTGCAGCAACACATCAACCACCAGTTACCCTGTACACACATACACGTGTACATACAGATGTGGATACATACACCGAATTATCTCATTTCAGCATTTTGTTAGTTTTGTTTTCATATATTACATTTCTCCTTTGTTGGAATAATGATGCCTTTTTATTTGTGCAGTTTTAAGATCGTACCAGTAGATTTTGTTTTTCTTCTGGTGCATCATTTCCTCTGATGCATTTTTACTTTTTTCGTGCAGGTGATATTTCAGAAATATCGGATTTCCTATGGCGATATAGTCAATGATCTGTGCCCAGTAATCTCTCTTTCTTGCTCACATATCCACCCACTCACAAGCATAAAGCACAAATAGTTTTAAAAACACATCAATAATGATTTTGTTCCCCTCCTGCAGATATTGAGTGTGCAACAGCTTTATCGAATTTGCACCCAGTACTGGGATGACAAGTATAATACTCAAAGTGTTTCCACCGATGTAAGTCCACAATAAGTTGAAATCTGTTCTTTTATATGAATAATTTCAATTTCAATGTCCGTCTACTTACCACCAAGTGTTCTAATAGTCCTTAAATCGGTAAATTATCACTTGTTTATCAATACATTTTTCTGTGACCTGCATTTCATGGGAAAATCTAATGAAACTACAGAATGAATTGTGTAATATTGACCCATATCAAATGAATCAATTGGTGATTTTTTCTTAATTCTCATCATGCAGGTTCTTTCCAGAATGAGGATATTAATGACTGAGGATAATAATGATGCAGAAAGCAGTTCCTTCTTACTGGATGAGATCTCTAGGTAAAAAAAGTTTGTTCGGATCACATACTACTTTAGCACAAATAGTTACATGTAAAAAAATTCAAAAAATTCGGGTAAAAAAAGTGACATGTAAAAAAGGAACAGCAAAGCCATCTTGATATATTTTTCTTGATGCAGCATACCCTTCTCAATCGAGGACATAGGGAGTACTGTACAAGAGAAGGATTTTAGGGATGTGCCTCCATTAACTGAGCTTCTCGAGAACCCAGCTTTCCAATTTTTACAGGAATAAAGCTCGAGCAGTTCTTGATTTGTTTCAATTCTATCGGCCATTGCCTCCGAAGTATTCTTAAGTGTTGTATATCCATTTGTTTTCATTGGAAAATATGGTGTAAATTTATTCTGTTGCTTAGAATTAGAATTGGAAATCATTTAGGGGCCAGTTTTTGTGGGATTGGGCTGAATATTTGCTCTTTCTCTCATAGAATAGTTTTTTTTTTATCCTCCCCTCTTCCATTCTTTGTAGATAAGTTCATAAATTATGTAATAGCCAGTTATAGGGGTTCATTGGAGAAAAGGGTCCAGAAAATCCCCCTTCTTCTTGTAAAGTAATTGAGTGTTGTAAAGAAATCAGAATCATAAGAGCAGATACTTAAATAGAATGCCTTCTGTATTTTTATAGGCCAGTGGCTTTTCTTCTTCTTCTTCTTCCTTTTCTTCTTCTTTTTTTTTCTTTTTTTGTTGGTGTCCTGAAAGAAATAATACTATTTCATCTGTAATTATGAGCAAATTATTGATTATGAGAATACTACTTTAGTTAGATTACCCCTCCAAGTTCCCAGTCGCTGACATGGTTAAAGTTACGATATTAATACATTTGGGTCAAGTGCTGCCTTCTCCTTATGTTTATTTGCTGATTTAAAGTCAGTTATACTAATATTATTTGGTTGTGAAATCTCTTTACTAAAAAGAATAATGAACAAAGGAATCAATTAACTGGTAAAGGAAAAATATAGAACCAGAAGGCAACAGCAGCACAAGCTAATAATTTACCTTCAGCATGTAGTAGGTATAAATTCTTGCATCAGCTTTAGCAGGCAGGATTCAATTAGGTTGTTAACTGAATAAGCCCAGCAACAAAGAGCAATCACCAAATGAAATGTATGGACAAGATGCAATAATGCATATACTCACAAATTTCTTAATCCTGGAAACAATCACAACTTACAGACATGAGGGTTACTAAGAAAATCATACATCCCACATATAGGATAAGTTTTGTATCAGACTGTACACTAGCATACCATTATTAGTAGCTAATGGATTATTCTGGAAATAATCTGATATGAGAATTACTTGTTGATTTGGGTGCTTAGGGTTTAAGCGTGAAGTAGGAAGTAGGTGAGTTTAAAATTAATCCCTAGCAAAAAAAAAACAGTTTTAAAAAACAAAAAATATCCATAAACTGATAAGAATACCCATAAATAATAGATTAGAGTTTGCTCAAGCCACTGTTATAATGAGGTCAAGAAATTAAATCAAACATACAATAACAAAAAAGTAGAAAACTCGTCAAAACATATATAACTAGGTTTTTGAGAAATTTTTCGACTATTCGAGCTGCCATATCGTCCCACAAATATAAGGATTTTCTTTCCAGCGGGTTCAGCGACGTGAATCTGCAAAGAAATATTAAAGAAAGCTTAATTTGCATATTACATATTGGTTTCCATCTTTTACATGATTCTTAATATTAACATCTAATGATGGCTTACCTTCGCTCCATTTTTTTCATGCGCGAAACATAGATCCTCCTTAACCAAAGCTGACTCCAACGTGTATGACTTCATTCTTGCAATCTCCGTATCTGTGAGGCTTTTTATTGTAAAGGGGTGTGCCTTGATCCCATGGGACATTATCTTAGCACTGTATCTATAATAGATATTCTATAATTTTGATCGTATAACTTCAATAATTCTCTACAAGTAGAATCTCTGAAAGGCAGTGCTAACCAGGGCATGCTTTTGAGATCAGGCCCGGCCCAGGGGTAAGCCAACCAAGCCCTGGGGCAACCCAGGGCTAGAGAGCAACCAATTTTTTTATATATAATGTAGGGTTATAATTTATAAACATAAAATTCCAAGCTTTAACATGATGCGGACTTGGTATTGTGGTTGAGGGGTTGTCAGTTTGAGCCCAATATAGAACCCTAAATGGTATTATATGTATTCATTTGTATCGTTATTATTCGTACCAAATTTTTAATATAAGGGGCAACCAAAAATGGATTGACTAGGGCAACCTAAACCTAGGGCAACCTAAACCTCGGGGCCGGCTTTGTTTTTGTGACTCAAATGCATCATGGCCCAAATCGAAATCGATAGGTTGCCAAATTCATTCTTTGACCGAGAGCTGCAATCTCTCTTTAGATAGGATATTCAATCCTATAGGAGTTATGTTAACTATCCTAAAGCATCTTGGCTCCCACGTCAAAATAGCAATCCATGCACATGGGTGTGTTATTATTCGAATTCTCATTGTAAGGGAGATAAAAGGCTTTTGGAATTAGTTGAGATAGCAAGCTCAAGTAACAAAAGGATTCCTATCCAACTTTATATTCGGAGCAGAGAACATCTTCGAGAATCGAGATCAATACATCAAAATAGACAACAGTGTCCTCTTTTGAAGCCGCAAGAGATAATTTGGCTTTTCGGTAGCTCTCTATTTGTTTCCCTAATTAATTAGAGATTGAGAGAGAGATTGATTGAGATTATTTGGGTGTTTATTTGGGATTGAGTGATTGAGAGATTCCACTTTGTATTCCTCATAATTTAGTAAAGCTATTCTCTTCCTTCGCCCGTGGACGTAGACTACAAACCGAACTACGTATGTCTTCGTGTTCGTGTGTTCTCGATATTTTCATGCTCTCATGTGATTGATATTAGTTTATCCTGGGCATTTGTCATAACAAATTGGTATTAGAGCCATCAGCTATTGATCGGACGAGAAGATGACGACGACCACTACAAAATGGGATATCGAGAAGTTTGATGGCAATATCAGTTTCAGCCTTTGGCAGGTTAGGATGATCCCCGTGTTGACACAGAGCGGATTGAAAAAATCTTTATTTTGGAAATCAAAGAAATCAGCTACTATAATGGAGGAAGATTGAAACGAGTTGGATGATAGAGCTCTCATAGCTGCCCAATTATGTTTGACAAACGAAGTTTTGCAAGAAGTTCTCATGGAGAATACATCCGCTGATTTATGGTCTAAGTTGGAGGATTTTTATTTGACAAAGTCACTCACTAATCGCTTCCTCTTGAAGCAGCATTTGTACACACTTCGGATGTTGGAAGGAATACCCATCAAATCTCATATTGGTGAATTTAATTATGTAATTACAGATTTTAGTAAGATTAATATTAAGATTGATGATGAAGATCAAACTCTATTATTAATTTGTTCTTTGCCGCCTTCCTACAAGCACTTAAGAGATACTATAATTTATGGTCGAGATTCTATTGGCATCAAGGATGTCAAAAAAAACTTGTTGAATGAGGAGAATATTGACAAAGAGTTAACTACAAGCGAAAGTGGTGATAAAGCTGATGATTTATTTGTTCAAGGAAGATCGGAAGGAAGGGACTTTGGAGGTAACAAGTATAAGTCGAAATACAGGAATCTGACCTGCAAGAAGAAAGGGCACATTAAGACTGATTGTTATAGAATGAAGAATAAGAATAAACAAGAAGAGTGTGAAAAAAAATCAAAGGAGGACTCTGCTGAAGTTGGTATTGCTGAAGATGTGATTTTGTTGGTTACCGATGATAAAAACAGGAGCATAGATGATTGGATTTTAGATTTGGATTGTTCCTAACATATGTGTCCTAATCGGGACTGGTTCACCACTTATGAAGCTATTGATGGTGGAGTTATTCTCATGGGGAATAACGCCTCATATAAGACTATTGGGATAGGCACAATTCAGATTAAGGTGCATGATAGAGTCATCAGGACTTTGACTAATGTTAGGCATGTTCCAGATTTAAGAAAGAATCTCATCTCTTTGGGCACCCTTGATCATCTTGGGTGCAATTTTTTAGGTGAATGTGGAGCTTTTAAGGTTACAAAAGGCTCTCTTGTGGTTATGAAAGAAAAGAAGATCGACATGTTTGAAGACAATGTTTTGATGAGGATTGGTTTATAGGATGCAGGTTTGAAGACTCTGTAACCTTTTATAGACTCTCTAACCTTTTATATATCTGTTGGTCAACAATGGGGGCTGCCACACTTGTTGAAAATGGGTGCAGACACACTTGTTGACAAAGGAGCCGCCGGAGCCGCAGTTGTTGATAAATGAGGTGGCCGAAATTGTTGACAAGAGGGGTGGTCGAAGGGGATGAAGCCTATAAATCCCCTCCCCTCTTCCTTCGTTCAATCTATCTGAGCTTAGGAGATCTATCAGAGCTTGAGAAATCCATCAGAGCTAAGATCAGTTAGGAAGAGTGATTAAGTGAGCAATTAGAGTTTGGGCAATTTTGTGAGAGAGATTGAGAGTTGAGGAAAAATCAATAGTGATTTGTTGTTTGTGAGATTATTGAGTGATTGTAATCTCTATTTGTACTCCCTCTCTCTATTAGTGGGATCTATCCCCTCCTTGCCCCGTGGACGTAGGCACATTGCCGAACCACGTAAATTTGGTGTCTTGCCTGCTGTGGTACTTGTTTTGATCTCGTTTGTGTTAATTACGGTTCCGCTGCGCACAACAAGTGGTATCAGAGCTCCGGGTTGGCTTGGGGTTCAATTTGGAGGATTGGAGGAGAAAGCTAGGGTTTTTATAAGGGATTTTATCTTCCAAGGAGTGGTGGAGAAATCAATTGGAGGATTCGGTGTGGATTCTCATTTGGAGGTACAAACCCTAATTTTGCTCTTTTTCAATTCAAGTTATAGTTGTGTAATTTGGAGATTAGATTGAAAATGACCGAATCGAGTACATCGGGATCGTCCTTGACTAAGGCGATACAAGGGTTGAGCATTAATAATACAAAAATTGATGTTCAAAAATTTGATGGCAAGATAAATTTTGGTTTGTGGAGGTGTCAAGTGATAGATGCATTAGATGCCCAAAATTTAGAGGAGACTCTTGAATTACTAGAGAAACCTGATGATATGGAGGATAAGGTTTGGAAGAAAATAAATAGTAGAGCATGTGGGGTTATTAGATCATGTTTGACGCCGGATTTGATTTATGATGTAATGAATGAAACATCGGCGAAACGATTGTGGGAAACACTCAATGATAAGTATTTGACGAAAAGCATTGAGAATAGACTTCATTTAAAGAAGAGGTTTTACCAATTTAAAATGAAGAGGGGAGTTTCAATTAGAGAACATGTTAATAATTTCACAAAATTGCTATCGGATATGGCCAATGTGGATATCATGGTAGAGGATGAAGATAAAGCGATGTTGTTATTATGTTCATTACCAGAGGATGATTATAGTACCTTTGTCCTTACAATGATTAATGGTAGAACCACTATCAGTTATAAGGAGGTGACCACATCATTGGTTAATTATGAGTTGAGAAAGAGTGATAGTGAACCCTCCGAGAAGGCATCAGGAGATGCATTGGCAGTGAGAGGCCGTAGTGCAAACCGTCGTCAGTTTAATCGCTCAAAAT